CATGCTTTATTCAGGTCAAGTAATTCCTGAACGCCACAAAAGTTGGGAGCCTTATGAGGCAACTGGTGAAGTCCTGAACCCTGGCATCAAAGATAATAGGAATTAATACTTTAAAAAACGAAGTATGTAATTAGGGTGTATGTGATTCAAATTAAAGTATCTTATTGTGTGACTGCAAAATGAAAATGTCTAATGTGAACCATGCTTTATTCAGGTCAAGTAATTCCTGAACGCCACAAAAGTTGGGAGCCTTATGAGGCAACTGGTGAAGTCCTGAACCCTGGCATCAAAGATAATAGGAATTAATACTTTAAAAAACGAAGTATGTAATTAGGGTGTATGTGATTCAAATTAAAGTATCTTATTGTGTGACTGCAAAATGAAAATGTCTAATGTGAACGGAACCTAAATTGAATAAAAAAATTTAAGTGAGATGAACTTTTACCAAAGCGTGGGTCAAGCCTTGGGTCTAGCCAAGATGTGGTCTTGTTCTTATGGTTTATGTAGTAAATTTCTCCATCCTGGGTCATGGCTTGTTCCCATCCATCAGGGAGTGGGCCTGCAATATAGAAGGAAGGAATTCATAGTAGGCTCTTGTTTGCTCCAGCTCAAAAATAGCTCTAAATAAAAAATAAATAAATAAAAAAAATCCCAACATTTTACATGTAAACCAGTACATGAAACAAATAGTTTCAAGCTCATGTCTAACAGTCCTGGGAGGAGGGCAGAGAAGGGAGTCATGAGGAAATTATACAAATAAGATTATAAAGCATTTCTGCCATTTTATTAAAGATCTAGAGTTTGATTTTATAACTTATGTCTTTTAGTATGTTTTGCTACCTATTCCTTTGCTAGGGTCTATTCATGGTAAAGGAATTTTAGAATACAAAACCAGCAATAAATCAAGCCTGCCAGAATGAAACCTGTATAAGCACCTGAATTGTTCTCTCCCTCCAATGTCTGTCTGGTAAGTATAGCCGAGCAGCAGCATAAAACCAACATGATTCTTCTGAAGTTCTATTTTGCTGCTCCTCCAGCATAAGCTGCTGAGCAAAATGTACTGGAATCACCCCCTTCCACTGCAAAAGTGTTATGGGATGCAGCAGATACAAGGCATGGTCGTGCAGGGAGGAAGGGAGAGAAAGAGTGATGAGAAAATGGAGGAGGAACAAATAAATAAGAAACACAAAAGAGCAGAAGCTGAAGGAGATGAAAAAGTCATGTTATGCTCCACTCTCAGAAGGTAGGCCTCTGCATGTTTTCTGAAGATCACCCTTGTACCAGAACCCACAGGCTATGTCTGAATGAGGAAACCTGAGCATCTTCTCTGACCCTTCTGCTACCAAATGCAGGTATGGGGTGGAGAGCTGCCACTAGAATGCTGCTCCTGAACACTACGGGTGCGTCTAGACTGGCAAGATTTTGCGCAAAATCTTGCCGCCTGTCTACACTGGCCGGGAGTATTTGCGCAAGTACGCTGATGTTCTACTGTATGAAATCAGTGATTCTTGCGCAAATACTCTGACACTCCCGCTCAGGGATAAGCCCTCTTGCGCAAGTATTCTTGGCCAGAGTAGACAGCCAAGTAAATTTCTTGCGCAAGAGAGTGTCTACACTGGCACGGATGCTTTTGCGCAAAAGCAAATCTTTTGCACAAAGGCACGTGCCAGTATAGACGCTCTCTTGCACAAATACTTTTAATGGAGTATTTGAGCAAAATCATGCTAGTCTAGACACAGCCTACTAGTTCTCACCTGTAGTTTACCATATCTTCCCCCCAACCCCACCATCATCTCTATTTTCGTTTGTTAAATCTCTTTGAGGTGGGATTATGTCCTCTTCTGACCTTGTAAAGTATCTGCCACATATTGGGACCAATTTATTTAATGTAGGGTAGGACTTTTTGGAAGTGTATAAGTGATTTAGACACTTGAAAATACCATTTTTATTTATTTGGACTTAAACAATAAAAAGTGGCCTCTATAAAGTTCTTGGTGCCTGTGCCATAAATGTTAAGAAAAATAAAATTATCTTCCGTACTCAACCTCTTTTCCCCCTTCTCTTCAGTCTAACACTCCACAAAATGCCAATAAGAACAATCTACAGGGGTTGGTTGGTAAGTGTTTGGTTAAGTTTTTAAGAAGTGCTACATAGCACAGAACTGACTGGTATGTACACACAATCACTTTAAACTTACCATGCAAGTAGGTGAAATGACAAAAACAGTACCTATTTTATCAGTTTTAACACTGGAATGACCCTTCTCTGTCATTTTGTTTTAGACTCCTGTTACTATTGAACGTTACACAGTTGTGGAAAACCAGATTAACTTTTGTTTCATCAAAGCTCATCCATTCTGGAGCCAAATGACTGATCTGCACCTCTTTCTTTGTAGAATCCCACATAGATATCTACAGATTTGCAGGGCTTTAGATATAAAATGTAGATCCCTATCCATCTGTGATCCACAAATATGGTCCATGGATATGAACACACTTACTTTTCTGGACAGGAAGGTGAACTGCTCCAATACTAAAACTATGGCTCCAGGACAGTCTCCTTTCAGAAAAAAACCTCCTCTAATCACACTTTCTGACTTCAGAAGTAACTATAAACATACACATAAAATGTGTAAATCAAGTAATTATGTAATTAATAGAAAACTACCCAGTCTTCCTCATGAGTTACTGGTGGAAGTACAAACAAAACAAATTGTTTTTAGATGTGGACACACCCATGTCAGGAGCATAGCCCTGCCCAGGCCTGAGGCAGTGAAGCTGGTATCCAGGAGCACAGCCCAGACTGGGAATGCGGCCTAGACAAGTGGCGAGTGTGCAGCCCCAGCCAGGGTCAGCCTGCTGGGGAACATAGCCCTTGCCCTATGCAAGAAGCACAGCTCTGGTAGAGCTGGGGAGCAGTGGGCCTGTGGCGGGGAACAGGGCCAATAGCCGGAAGGAGAGCCTCCACCTCCCCTGGTCTGGCAAACGCTGTTGTTTGGTACTACTCAGGTCCTGAGGGTGCCGTACCATGGAGGCCTCACCTTTATTTCTTCTCAGATTTAGCTATTGGCAATTTCCATTACTGCTTTATCCGATATAAATGGTTTAATCACAAAGACCTATGCAATAACATCCTGCCACAATAGAAATGAACCTCTTCCTTGTTCTATTCATCTTTGCTAACTCTGGCATTATCTGGACAAAATTCTCAAAAAATCTGGATTCTAATTTAAAACCCAAGATATCCTTTACAGAACATACAGATAAAATGAGTAACTAAATATATCATGTTATAACTCTGTGTGCATACATGGTATTTCTAAATATTTTTTTTAAAGATTCTGTTCCTGCCATGAAGCACCGAGGTTTTGTAAAAATTCAACACGGAAAATGTAGTGGCCAAATGAGAAAAGGGACAGAATGTATATCAAAGAAGTTTCATTAATGTACAGTGAGCAAATCTTATAATGTCTAATATTTAAATAGAGATGGAGATAGGATAGAAAAGGAACAAGGTATTTCTAATAAGGGGATATGCAGCACATAGAAGGTAAATATATACATACTCACACCTACCCACTTGTTAACAATTAGGAAATACCTTGAAGGTTTATTTTTAAATATTAATTTCTGAGCAATTCACAAGTATGACAGCAGAATAGCTTCTTTTTTTATAACTTTCTATAATCATCAGCCAGCCAACTATTTGATCCTATCAAGCAAGAACTTGTAGGTGCTTTGTAAGATCAAACCATTCAAGTCTACCAAGATGTCCAACACTACATGGGAAACAGAGTCTAAAAAGATGTACATGGAAGGAATAATTTTGTACAACTTTCATCTTTATTGTTACATAAGAAAAACCAAAACATATTGCAGGAACCTTTCTTCCCTCTCCGCCACTACTTTTCAAACCTCAATTTTCAATCATAAGACTTTCACTAAACCTGCCATAGCTAAATTTCATTACAAGTTCCCAAAAGGACATACCACTAAATAAATGAAGCCCAATGTATGATTATCTTTTACACATTTTCTTAAGTTACAAATGTTTACAAAAGTAGTGTACAAAATATCATAAGCTGTATGGCAGAAGAGGTAAATTTGAAACTAAAAATGAGCAGGAACCCTCAAGATAAGATAGCTGAAATTTACACCCTCCACAGGGCCTTGGTTAATTTGCTGCTATATACCCACTAAGGGTATATGAACTGAGCTGTGAACAGTGCATTTGCTTTTGTCTGCCTCTCTCAGAAGGCTGTTTTCTTGCGAAACTCTGACCAAATATAACGTTCACTTAAAATGGCTAGCTTTAATATATGAGGATTTCTACCAAATACTACTTAATGAAAATGAATTCCTTGATGGAGAGAGGGGAAATAGAAGGCAGACACTGATGGAATCAATAGGCAGCATTAAAAAATAAAAATCTACTACCAAGTTAAATTTGTAATGTCTCTCCAGGCGGGCTGAAGAGAGTATATTGAACAGCCTGATGGATAAAATTAATGGGTCAAAGGGATACAGTTATGTTACTTGTACACTTCCTTTGTATAAAATCTTCCACACCACAATTCTATCAGCTATGATGGTACAGGAAACAGACATGGGAGATTTTTTTTTAAATTTTGAAATGTATCTTTCTCTCTTAGTAAGGTACCTGAGCATCTTTTATCATTTTAATAAGAGACAAGCCAAGGCTATGCAGTTTTACCTGTAGAACTCTCAAACCAGTGGTACAGCAGCAGAGTCCAAAAACAAAAACAAGAGTGGAAAGACCACTCTTTCTAAGTAAACAGACCACATTATTTCCATTTTTGATGAGCTGTGGAATTTTCAATTACTTCATTAAGTCTAATTTGACACAGAAGATTAAATAGCATATTTTGTCTATAATACTGCAACATCCCTTCCCAACAGTATGGTTCAAGACATTTATGCAGGTTACTTGGAGCAAACTCAAACCAGGAAGAGTGTAGCCATCTACCTAACCCTCTTTTGAAGCATATTAACATCACTGGAACAAGAAGTGTTTGATCACATTTCACTGACCATACAATATTCATGCAAGCAAATTCCAAATTCTGGCATCAAGACATCAATACATTTTAACTTTTTACCCTTACATACCAACTCCAGAGAATAATTACTCAAATTAGGAATCTTAAGAAAACTTCTCAGATCATTACTACTAATAGCAATAGTAAATATTTATATTATGGTAGTAAACAAAAAACTTCAAGCCCTATTGACCTATGTGCCATATTTGCCCTGACTCTTCCAAAGGAGGATACTTAAGAGCGCCCATTTCATCCTTTCATTTCCCACACTCTAGAGTCAGACATTTAGGAAAGCAGTAATTATCAAATTACCAAAATGTAGCAGAACCATAAAATATGAACGCTTTAGTTAAAAAAATATGTTTTAAAACATTAAAATAAGTACTAACATCAACATACAATGAATGCAGTCCTAGAATTCAACTCGCTCACAACACACTTTTACTAAACACAAGACAATTTTTGAACTATCAACTCTTTAAGCGAATTAAAATGGGTTAAAAAAATTATGCCCACTAAAGTGTTTACTCAGCATCCCATTTTCTAAGCTTACCAGACCAGCCAATCTTTTTGATAATACACAAATAACTCTGTGTTAATTTTTACATGGTAACAAGTTTCAGGGGGCAGCTGTGTTTATCTGCTTCAGCAAAAATGAGGGGTTCTGTGGCAATTTAAAGACTACCACGTTTATTGGTAGTTGAGCATAAGACTTTGTGGGCTGCATCTGACGAAGTGGGTTCCAGCTCACAAAAATGTATGCTCAAATAAATTTATGTTTTAATGTGCCACAAGACTCCTTGTAATTTTTACAGAGCTAAAGAAAATGAGATTTTGGGAGCAAAATTTACTCAATAAGGATTTCTGCGTTGTAGATAATTAAAAAAAAAAACAGACTAAATTGTGAAAATTCATGGACCTGCATTAAACAAGGTTATTTTCTCAGACACCACCACACACATGCCTATTTTAGTTTCCCTCTATAGTGTCCAGAGCAAAATTGACTAAGAAGGTCCCTGGCTAATTTTCTTTGCTAACTTATATTCTGTATGCTTGTTTGGCTTTGAATTTTAGCAGTTCTTCTTGAGTAGTGCTTGAGTGTGTTTAAGGACTACCTACATTACAGAGACTTCATATATTGCTCCCTAATCCCTCAATAATTATGTCTGAATTAAAAACAATTTTTGCTAATATTCATCATGGTAGAGAGAGAGTAATGAAGTACGAAAAAGACAGGGTAATTGTAAAGATTATTCAAAGTCTGCACTGTGTGCTATTTCACTGAACACAGACATCACTTTCTTCTTTTCACAGTCATCACTTTCTTCTTTTCAATACGTGCAATAAGGAGAGATGAAAGTTTTTAAAGAACACGGTTTGGCAGTGAAAATTTAGTTCTCGGTTATAAGAAGAGAGAGAAATAAGTCAGGGTTGTGGTAGTGAGAAAGCCCCATTTCCCCTACTCCCTATTCCTCTGTAAGCTCTGGAAAAAGAATCCTAAAGGCAAATTGGGTCTGTAACTTTCCCATCATACATTCCATACATTAATGGAAAAAGTCATGGCCCAGTTAGATAAGCTTTTCAGATACGAGAAATCCTGGAATTTTAACTGCATTCAGCCATGACCTCCTTAAATCCATCCAAGATCTCATCACTTGTTTCAGGGCCGGGGCGGGGGGGGGGAAGTGGAGGAGACGACTCTAACTGAACCCATGAGTGCTATCCCGTTCCACTGCCTAGCTGGCAGAAAGTCAAGACAATGGCTTGACTTGCCTCACCTCCAGAAGCCACAGCCACAAATGTCTCAATTTCATCTCACGCTTGTTTGTCTTTCGCTGCTGTTTGTAGTGTGTACATAGCAGCATAAAACAGACACAAGCTTGTTTAAGCAGAGAATCAGCTGCAAGCTCATCTCAATAGGGAATCTCAAGCAGAAGACAGGATATTTTACCTCTCTTTGGCACTGATGCAACTGCTGCCGGAATAGGTATGTAATTCTGGTACCTCTCATTCAAGAAGGATGTTGATAAATTGGACATGGTTCAGAGAATAGCTATAAGATGATTAAAGGATTAGAAAACATGTCTTACTATGAAAGCCTCAAGGAGCTCAACCTATTTAGTATAACAAAAAGAAGGTTATGGGGTGATTTGATTACAGTCTATATGCATGGGGAACATATATTTAATAAAGGGCTCTTCAATCTAGCAGAGAAGAAGCTGAAACTAGACAGATTCAGTCTGGAAACAAGGCGTACATTTTTAACAGTGAGCGTAAATAACCACAAGAACAATTTACCACAGGTTGTGGTGAAATCTCCAGCACTGAAAAAAAAATCTTAAAAATCAAGATTGAATGTTTCCTAAGAGATACACCTTAGGAATTATTTAGAGGATGTTCAATGGCCTGTGGTATGTACGACATCCGAGTAGATGATAATCATTTTGGAAAATGCAAATGCTATATGCAGAGAACCAAAGAGGTGCAAGCATGATCTTGAGGATATGGGGGTGATGGAGGGGAAGACAAAATAAAATTATGCTAGGTCTATACTAGATCTGGAGGGTCGACTTAAGGTACGCAATTCCAGCTATGTAAATAGTGTAGCTGGAGTCAACAAACCTTAAGCCTAGCTTAGTGCCATCTTCACAGTGGGAGGTCAATGGAAGCAAACGCTCCCATTGGCCTCTCTTACTCCTCATGAGTATAAGGAGTACTGCCACCGACCAGGGAGCACCCTCAGGTTAGAGTTAGCGTATCTCCTAAACCTGCTAAATCAAACGTGAGAAGATTGATCTCTAACATGGAAAGTGGAGACATGGGCCTTAGATTCACAAAGGAAGGAGCAGACAAAACAGGAGGAAAACCACAACAGTTGTCTCAAATTAGCAATGGTATCAAGATCATTTGCTTGCTTTCTACAGTAGCAGAGCCAGGGAGCACTTGGAAAATAGTGAATTTTAGCCCATGAAAGTGAGCACTTTTCATTACTCTCTATGCTGAAAAAGTTGTGCTGAGAGGCTCCAGGAGAACTCAAAATCTGGTTCTCCATCAGTTAAAGGAATGGTCACCATGATGTAGGACTTTAGGAGCAGAAAAGGAAGAAGGAAAACATTGCATCTCTTCTGCCACAAGGATTTTTCTCTATGTGAAGAGAAGAAAAAAGGTGAGATCTTCAAAAAGAGACATAAGAGAAATAGCAGGCTGGGGAGAACAAAATTCAGAAAGGCAGGAAGATGTGTGAAAGCATACTTCTAGGAGAAAAAAGAAAAAACAATATATTTACTATTTATGAGGGAGATTTAGTTTACTCTGATTCTAATTATCACCTCAAACAATGATTCACTGGAAGAAATCAAAATACAATCTCTCTTAAAATGTCAGAATTCTACATTTTAGAAAGTTAAATTACACTTGTGCTGACGTCACAAATCTATTCTCTCTTCAGATCACATCATCCGCGTGCTAAGGCATCAAGAAAAATAATGGAAAAATACTAGAAAAAGCAAGGGCATGAGAGGAATTGTGCTTTAAAGTTGACATTTTTCAAAATGCCTTCCTTAGAAACAGAAATATAAAAATATTTATATATTTTTGCTTACCTGATGCTGAATTCATTATGCTCTGTTGCACTGGAGGACTGGTGGGGGCTGTAACATTCATTTGGGAAAGTATCGCCTTCCTAGGGTCCTGCCATGTTGTTGTTTGATCAATGTGACTGAGACAAAACAAACCAGAGTTAGGCAGAGTCTCATGTATTCACAACAATGTGCTAGAGTCGACAAAGTCTAAATAAGAGATTAGAAAAGCTACACTGAAAAAGCATAACTCAAAAATCTTAGCAAATGCCTTCTTCAGTCATTTTTGACTTGGCTTAACTATACCGGCCAGATTCTGAAACCCTTATTCTAGTCAGTAGCACTTTCTCCAGAAACAGTCTCAGCGATGAAAGGAACTACTGAAAGTATCAGTATCTGGTCCCTTGTGTTTTGAAGTATCTGTTCACATGAACTATACGTTTTTACCTTTTTACTATATAACTTGTCATGTTTAGACTGATTTCAGAATCTTTCAAATTAAAATCAAATTGTCTATAATCCCATGTAGAATCAAGTAATTTTGTAGTGTTAATTCCCCAAGCACGAACTAATCATCAGCTAATAAGTAAATCACTAGAATATACTGTTTTGATTAGTCTCTATGGGTATGTCTACACTGCCCCGCTAGTTCGAACTAGCGGGGTAATGTAGTCATCCGCAGTTGCAAATGAAGCCCGGGATTTGAATTCCCCGGGCTTCATTTGCATGAAGCCGGCCGGCGCCATTTTTAAATGCCGGCTAGTTCGGACCCCGTGCCGCGCGGCTACACGTGGCACGGACTAGCTAGTTCGGATTAGGCTTCTAATCCGAACTAGCTGTACACCTCATTCCACGTGGAACGAGGTGTACAGCTAGTTCGGATTAGAAGCCTAATCCGAACTAGCTAGTCCGTGCCGCGTGTAGCCGCGCGGCACGGGGTCCGAACTAGCCGGCATTTAAAAATGGCGCCGGCCGGCTTCATGCAAATGAAGCCCGGGGAATTCAAATCCCGGGCTTCATTTGCAACTGCGGATGACTACATTACCCCCGCTAGTTCGAACTAGCGGGGTAGTGTAGACATACCCTATCAGAATGTTAGCTAACATGAGAGATTTGCATTTTTTTCCTCATAGCCCATATTTTGAAAGATTTCATCAAGACCACTTCCCTCCCATTGACAACTAAATAGCATCACTTTGGCAACCACAGCCACTGTATTCTTTGGAGCTACTTTTCAGTTTATTAGGGTAAACAGTAGGGATGCAATAGTGTAGTTGATTAACAAATAAGCAAAAGCTTATAGATTAATGCTATAGACTACACATATTTTCCTCCCAGCCCTCCAGCCAGGAAATTATTTAAGCAGACTGGCCAGCAGCCCGGCTAGGTCCCAGCTTTTGCCGGGTCTGGGAACTACCTCTGCTGTGGCTCTGCATTTAAAGTGTATTAGGAGCCAGGTGGGCAAGCAGCCCAGCTCCATTCTGGCTCGCGCCAGGTCCGGGAGCTGAGATCCCACCTAGACAGGGACCTGCTGCCACTCCATGCTGCTGCTCTGCATCAGAGGCAACAGCGCAGGGCAACAGAGGCAGCAGCGTGGAGTGGCAGGGTGCTCCTTGGGAGTGGGGCCAGCCCTGTCCCTGGGGACTAAAGAATAGTCGAGTAACATAAGAATTCATGAGGTTAACGTAAACAGTAAGGAAGGAACCACAATTATATGATGAGATGGCTTTCTGCAGACCACCAGCAAGAGCTCTGCAGACAACTAGAATTCCACAAATCACTTTTGAAACCATAGATTTTAAGGTAACTTGCTCAAAAGCCAGGGATGTCATTCATAGCCATCATTCACACAAATACTGAAGCCACATCAATATGGCCCTACCAAATTTATGGCCATAAAGTGTGTCATGGGCTGTGAAATCTTGTCTCTGGCTGTGAAATCTCATCTTGTGCGCTTTTGCCTTTATACTATATAGATTTCATGGGGAAAACCAGCATCTCCCAAATAGGGAGTCCTGACCCCAAACAATAGTTGCAAGGGGCTCATAAGATTATTTTAAGGGGGTTGTGGTACTGACACCCTTACTTCTTTGCTGACTGCAGTGCAGCAGATGTTGGCCAGAAAACCATTTCTGAAGGCAGCACCCCACCAGCAGCAGCACTGAAGTAAGAATGGTAATACCTATCCATGCCATCCTTACTTCTGTGCTGCTGCTGGTGGCAGTGGCTCTGCCTTCAGAGTTGGGTTTGCTTCCAGCTGTCAATGCTCTCCAGATGCCCAGCAATGAAGGCAGCGCAACCCACCACCAAAAGCACAGAATTAAGGAATAGCAATACTGCAACCTTATTTTACAATCACCTTTGACCTCCCCCAACTCTCTTTGGGACAGGATCTCTACAATTACACCACCATGAAATTTCAGATATAAATCTGCTGAAAATGATTACATTTGCTATTTTAAAAATCCCAAGACTATGAAATCGACCAAAGTGGACCGTGAATTTGGTAGGGTCCTACACATCAAGATTACCCCTAACAACTTTATACAGGCAGTCCCCGGGTTACGTACAAGATAGGGACTGTAGGTTTGTTCTTAAGTTGAATTTGTATGCAAGTCGGAACTGGTACATATTGTAGGGGAAACTCTAGCCAAACATTTCTCCAGAGCTCAGTTTTATTCTCCCACACCTCACTTCCCTCAGTCCTTTATTCTCAAGCTGAGGTGTCTGCTGAGAAAAGCCGCTCCGCGTCTCCCTAGTCCGCTGGGGGGGCACTAGCTTCGCGTCTCCCTGGTCTGCTGGGGGGAAGCAGCTAGTGCAGGGTTGCCTCACCCTGTTTGTAAGTAGGGATCCGATGTAAGTCGGATCCATGTAACCCGGGGACTGCCTGTAGTTATATTAATAAATATTTATAATATGAAAGAGGCGGCTACTTAAGGAGTGAGATACATAACCACATTTTTTCCATATGATATACATTAGAGTTGCCCTGAAAGGGCACATAAAAATATCAAACGCAGATACGTACCAATCTTTTCTACAGCATGTACTGTTACTAAACATTATTCATTCAACGCATCACCTAATTTCATGTCAGGAAGGATTTTTTCATACTAGGTATTGTGGCAGGGATACTGTTGGTGTTTTGGCTTTCTTTGGAGCAGACAGGCACGTCCAATGCAATACATTTCCAATAGGGAAGTACTAAATGTAATATTGAAATCTAAGCTGGCTAGGGATATACAGATTTAAAATACACTTCATCCATACACCATTCTATCATATCTAAGTTACAATGTATTTGCTATACAAGATCATGAACAGATATTCTAATATGTGTAACAGAGTAAGTCTTCATTGCGAATTTTCCATTGTGTGTCAGTGTTGCTGCTATGTTTACACACAAAGTCCACATACTACTAAAAATCCATATTTAATTTCCTTTACAAGAAGCCCTGTCTTTTTGGTCTAGTCCTCATTTCTGTGCCAGATCCAGGTTTTTACCATCCACAGATATGCTTCAACAAAGCATGAAAATATTATTTTCACTCATTCTTAAATATTGCTCTACAAAGGAATTTAGCCAGAGCAAACTGGATCACAAATGACCCACTCATAGCAGTTTTCCATCTAATGATATTGACAATGTTTAAAATATTTTAATACAATAACTGGTTCAGATTTTAAAGTGCCATTACACTATTTTAATAACTATATTAACAGGTAAAGTGTTTAGATCTGATCATATTAATTTAAACTGGTGTTCTGATTTGAAAAATGGAGGTTACTTACCTGCCACTGGAGACTATTCGAGATGTGTAGTCCCTACCTGTACTCCATGTGTGGATATGTATGTATACCATGCAGCTGAGATCGGCTATTTCTAGCAAGTAGAAATTGCATTGGTCCACAGGACAGACCCAACAAAGAGAGCAGCAGAATGGCACTATCCGTTACCTACAGCCTTCCAGCTACCCTCTCCTACACATCAGGGATCTACAACCCATCTTAGAGGTTGGAGGATAACCCCTCACTCTCACAGACCTTGGGAGGCAGGACAGTCCTCACTTACAGACAGCCCACCAACTCTGCTCCTACCCCCCCCCCCCCCCCACATACAAATCCAGGACAAACCCAGCTGCCAAACTCTGTCCTCACATCTACCTAGTAACACCATCACAGGACCTAGTCACATCAGCTATATGCCACCAAAGGCTCCTTCGTGTGCACATCTACTAATGTGCACCACATGTACCAACAATGCCCCTCTGCCATGTACACTAGACAAACCAGATTGCCTCTATGCAAAAGAATAAATGGACACAAACCAGACATTAAGAATGGCAATATTCAAAAACCTGTGGGGAAGTACTTCAACCGCCCTGGACACACAGTTTCGGATTTGCGAATTGCCCCTCTCAGGAAAAAAAAAAAGAGTGAGAAAGAATATGAGTGAAATCTTAGAAACAGCAGACTGCCTCTTACGACCAGCACTCCTCTGAGTCATTACCACTCATGCTTAGATTGAAGCAGCTCTGCTGTGGGTCTCCCCCTCCCTTCCGTCAGGCATTGCAGAGCTAGCAGGAAAAACCTGGGGGCAGCGCTACTTCAGGACAGAGCAAGAGGAGGAGAGGCAGCTGCTAATCAGTTGGACGGGATGGAGAGAAATGCTTGGTGGGCCAGATCTGCCCCCCAGGCCTAATTTTGCCCACCCCTGCTTTAGGTGTTCCCTAAAGAAACAAATAAGTCTAGGTGGTCTCCTAATTGATTTGTTCCCTACAAGTAGAATGACAAAGTCAGCTGGATATGGAGAGAATGAAGTTGCCTCTTCTCATCTAAAGCATGAAGTTTTGGAAAATATAGTGGTTTATGAAGAGATTCATTCATGTGAAAAACTCAGAAATTATCTAAAGGAATGAATTTCAGGTGGAGATTAAGGGAAACCACCTCCTTACATAATACGGTGTATGACAGGTCTGCCATAAGCATTCCCAGTTTACTCACCATACTGCCTTTTGAGCCACTCACCACCTGCTTAATGTCCTATCTTTCTGTGAAATGCCTTCCTATCACCATCATGTTAGCCAGAAGGGTAAGTATTGCAAGAACAAGATTAACTGGGTTGTTCATTTTTCCACTG